TTTATTCTGATATATGATAAAAAATAGAAATATTTATTTTATAAGTTTAAAAATGTTTGAAAATATAATACAACCTCTGACCTCACCATACAATTTGCTCTTGCAGCACTAAAAAAAATAATCGAATTAAATAAAATACAATAAAATACACATAATAGATAAAAAAAATTATAAGCGTCTGCAGAATTTATATAATTTTGATMAAATTCGTCAAAATCATGAAATTATTTAAATTGTTTATTGTGTAAAATGAATACAATTTTTAATTTTAAAGGCTTGAAAATTAAATACCAGATTTTTCATAAGTTATAATTATTAGAATTGAAAATAAACTTAATTGTAAAACCACATTTATTTGTAAGCCGGATTGAAGTAAAAAAAAAAAAAATGTTGACGGAATTGAATACTTAAACGTATTTATGCTTAAACGATTTTTCTTTTTCTTTTTTAAATTTACTTGGCATACATTTTGCAGTTGGTTCAGGTCGCAAGAAGAGCTCACGGTGTCACAGACAAAAGACGCAGCAGCGGCAAGCAGCGAATCTGCGTGAAAGGCGACGCATGCAGAGCATCAATGAAGCATTCGAAGGGCTTCGGGCGCACATACCTACATTGCCGTATGAAAAGCGCTTGTCCAAAGTYGACACTCTGAAGTTGGCCATCGGTTACATAAACTTCCTGTCCGAGTTGACTCGTGGTACAGGGCCGACAGGAAACGGCGTCACATCTTTAAACGTGGCCAAACTTACGACGATCGCCGGTCGCTTGCATAGACCGCCAGCACAGGTCAAAGAGCAACCTGTCAAGAAATTTATTGTTAGAGGTATATAATATAGACTATAGTACCTAACTAAAATTTTCAATTTTAAGGCAGTGACCAAACCTGTAATATATCTAATTTTTACTCGCTTACGTTTTATTTATAWATACTGATTCGACTATACAATACATTCGTCAAAATCTTTTAATTATTTTTGACAACAGTGAAAATTCCATCGAAAGATTTTGATACACGAGTAACTCGTACAATAAGGTCATCAGGTCCCCATTTAATGACTATGGCCTTGATGGATATATGTATATAAATATATATAATACACGTATATAATCATAAATGATACATCGAATTTAGTTGTTGATAAATAACTATTTGTATAGGTATTATATATCGATGAAAATAACTAACTTGTTCAATCAGGGGTGCCATTTGGGGGAGGGGGCGCTAGGTATACTTTGACTCCTCTATTTTTTTTGCGTCTTGTTAGCCTGGATTACAATTTACAATGCGCTGACGGAGTTATTCAATCGTTTTTTCTTTTTTATAAACATTTTTCCAGTGGCTATACTGCATCAAATGAAAGGTTTTTTCTTCACTTAAAAGTGTAAAATCTTATCTTAGGTCTTCAATGGGTGATGAATGATTAAGCGATTTAATGATTAATGAATAATGATCATAGTGATAGACTGATAGAAAACGAAGATACTAACAAGAAAAATTTATAGACAAAGCAGTAGATAGATTTTCTAAATTAAAAAGTAGAAGGTATAAGCTAGAATAGCATAATTAATTTTAAAAACTAATGTACACCGTATGGAATATTGTATTATTGTATTTATTATAATATATGTTAATAAATAAATACAATATATTAATTTTATTTAGAATAAATTGCATTGGTGTTATCATAGCAATTTTGCAATATTACCTATAGAGGTTTATATGTATACTATACCAAATTCATTATTAATGAATAATTTGAATTCACTTAAATATATACTTCAAGAGCTTAACCCCATACAAGTGACATACGCATAAACAATATTTGTAATTAGTAATTACTATTTTGAAGAAAAAGTAGCCTGACGGGAAAAAAATTGGCTTGCTTAAATTTTGGCACCCCTCTATTAAAAAACTGGAATGGCGCCACTGCAGTAGTGCAGTGTTTAATACCAACTTCAAATTACAATTGGTATTTAAACATTTTAAACTGTAGTCAATTTCAATAGTCAATTATTTGTTCATATCTATATTATATAATTATGAAAACCTATAGTAGATAATATTATAAAATATTGTAAATTTCAGGTGCATTTGGAACTCCATATTCATTACATTCATTGTCTTGGTCGAGGGCAAAAGAAAATTGTCCAAATAGCTCAGGAGTAATGCGTGCAAAGTTATGGAGGCCTGAAATAGGGTCACCGCGTAATTCTGGATCTACTTCAACCTCAACGAGTTCGACATCTTCAAGTAAAAACTAAAACCTAATGACTCGACTCTCATTAATATAAGATATAAAATGACTATTAGTCGCTAACAATAAAATTATAATGTATAGATTATAACTCTATAAGTTACTTATGTTTTATATAGTTATGCCTAAGGCATAGGTAAGTTATGTATACTTTGTTTCTATTTTCAGTTGTTTTTATTCCTATTTAAACATTTTTATTACAATATTAACTATATTATTTTTTGTATAATACGTACGAGGTATTTACTTGTTTTATTATTGTTTAATACTGTTAGTTTATAGTTTGGTGTATTTATTTATTTTTATTTTTTCAATTAATACCTAGTTAAACATTTTAATCATTTATCTTTAAAATAAAATAATATAAAATATTATTATCCTATAATTTTTATTGTGTAATTTACTAATTATATAAATTGGCAATTATAAATGATTGTGATATTATGCTTAAGGACTTATGGTAGCGTTATTATTAATTATTATTTACACCCATTGTACAATTGATTGCCTATATAGCTCATACGTAATAAGTTATAAACAATAATATAATTTCCTGGTTGAAGTAGATAGGTAGTTGAAAAGTACCTATCGGCTATTAGTGGCATAGTGAACTTTTTTTACCTATAAAACAAAAACCGAATTGTTTGAGAAGGCTTATAAAGAGCCGAGCCCCCATTTAAATTTTATTGACAGATTGACACTCGCCAAAATATTTGTAATATTTTACTAACAAGACTAAATCCTATATGTTAAAAGTGATTAGATTATTTTAGCCCCACCAAGATTAATATCTAAATTGCTGTTGTGGTTAAGCTACTGAAGTAAAGTTTATAGGGTATAAATTATTAAAAACATATTTGAGAGTTATGAATATTTTAAGRTATACAAACAATTTACTATTTTAAAATACTCATAACTCGCTTTAAAATTAAAATTTAATAAAAAGCCTAAAAGAAGTCCTTGATAATAATGTTACATTTATTTTTTATAAGAGGTCAATTCATTCTAAATTTTAAACTCACGGAGCTAAATGCGATCTGCTGAGCGTAAAATTTGATATGTTGTACTTGTAAGACGAAGACAATACATATCGAGGTATCTCTTAAGATACCAAAAATGCATATGTTTATAATTTTAAGTTGGAATTTACATAGTATGTACTATAGTCTATGTTTATAGAATGAAGTGTGTAAGCAAACATTAAAAAAAATAATATACCTAATAAAAATATCAATAAAAATAAATAATATTAAATTAATTATTTTTGAAACTATAGTTTAAACTTTAAACTAAACTAAAACTAAACTTAAAAATTTTCATTTAGTTTAGTATTACTGGAAATACTAAGTTATAGGTAATAGGTTATACTTAACCGTCTTAATCTATCCTAGGTACAGTAGGTAYTATTCCAATTAAATACCTATAAWGACGACATAAACCTATAGTTTAGCAGCCACTTGAATTTTTCGATTTTTTTTCAGTAACATACAGGCACTAACATATGTATTTCAACGGACAACGAGTTCAAGACGATGGTGCAAAAGTAAATTTTGTGGAAATGATTTGTTTATCTGATAAGTTATAGACTTGCAAATTTGGTGCAAAAAGGTGTTTAATCTATAACCTACTCATATGAATAAAGCTTTATTTTACCGCTATTATAACGAATTTTTTTTTTAACTATGTATTTCAACGAACTTAAAACGATGGTGCAAAAATAAATTGTTTGAAATGATTATTTTTGAAGTTATAGACTAATTTTATTTAGTTTAGCGGCCATGTGAATGTTTCACTTTTTTTTAAAAAAAACCTTGGAGCTAAAGAGTGCAGTGACGAGTGCCACAAAAGGTGTAATCACTGCCTATCACTAGTTTAAGTCTTCAAAACTAATCATTTCCGAAAATTTATTTTTGCACTTTCGTTTTAAACTCGTTGAAATACATAGGTTCCGAAAAAAAAATCGAAAAATTCACGTGGCCACTAAGCTAGATTTGATCCCTAATTACTAATCAGTTCATAAAACACACAAATGCCATAAATCATTATAGGCAATCTACAAGATTTTTTTTAAATAATAAATTACAAACGAGGATTGAGCCTTGAAGGATCCAAAATTGACTTAACAAAAAAATATATTTTTTTCAAAATGTACGGAACATTATATAATTACACTGCACAACTGTAGTATGCAAATGCCAAATATTAACTATTATTRTTATTATTATTGTGATCTATAGTCCTATAGAGGCAATAGATTATATTTTAATTTTAAAGACCTATGCATGCGACCGCCGCGCAAACTGGTGGGAAAATAATATTATGAATTATGAATTGACTATTGAGTACCAATGGATACGTATGAGGAGAACCAGTGACCGAAAACCAATAATTTAAATTTAGTAGTGTGAAAATGCTATACAGTATAGCATTTATTCAGTATAGCCTATACTGAAAAATACTAAATAAGTAATTTCTAMATTTCTAATTGCTACAACTTTACTTTACTATGTAATTACTAATTACTTCTTTTTTAACTGTAGTTATATGTTATATCACAGAATAGATTAAATCCATAGATAATAAAAGAATGGATAGGCCATCAGGCCTTATCGCACGGGCATGAACAATGAGGTTACAAGGGGTTTTATCAGAATGAAAATATCAAAATTGCTATAAAATAAATGATAATACCATTTACTAAAGTGAGAGCACTATATAAAAAGCAATCTGTGAATCTGTCTCTCATCCACATTCCGGCCCGCAAACAGGGGTTTGAAGTTAATATAGGAATGGCCTATCCATTCGTTAATTATCTATGATTAAATCTATCAAGGGGAATAAAATACGTAGGTATTAACCATGAACCATGGTAAGGTTGCAACTATGATAAACTTTTCATGATTATTTTATTCTGTGATACTAATATACTATGAACATTTTATATTTTATTGAATCATGACACAAGTCATACCTATCTAAATTCTAAATGATATAATATTCAATTATACAAAAAACAATTGAAATTTTAAACTTAAATATTTGTTAGTATTAAACTAGGTGATCAATTTTTTTTAATTCTTAATCTAATTAATTAGGACTTAAGGAGTTTGTTACTACTTAATCGTATTAATGTACATATTGCTTTAGTTTTTTGATTTAACTTTACAAGAATATGGCCGAGTTGGTATTGGACATCAATATCCGAGGTTGGGTTTTTTTACCAATTGTACTAATCACATTTCTTGTCGGTGTCATTCGGCATTATGTGTCATTATTAATCACGTCTCAAAAAAAAGCTGAGCTGACACAAGTACAAGATAGTCAAGTACTAATTAGATCACGCATGTTACGTGAAAATGGTCGATACATTTCTAAACAAGGATTCTACATGCGTCGTCATTACTTTAACAATGAAGAGAATGGTTACTTCAAGACCCAAAAACGAGCAGCTCCTACTCAAACAGTTATGCCTGATCCAAGTATGATGACTGAAATATTGAAAGGCAATGTAACCAATGTCTTGCCAATGGTTGTCATTGGTGGTTGGATCAATTGGATGTTTTCTGGATTTGTGACTACCAAAGTACCATTTCCCTTAACCTTGCGTTTCAAACCAATGTTACAAAGAGGTAATTTACTTAAGAGGACGCTACACCCGCATGTATTGTCTCCGTCTTACAAGTGCGTAACATTGCAAAAACTGTTTCGCGCGGGAAAGAACCGAGAAGGCTACAGCTATAACTAAGAAACGAAATTTYCACCACATAATAAGGAGAACATTTACTGTGCAACGTTGTTTTYAATTTTTMGATATCACAAATAGAAAAAAAGTTCTTATTGTTYCAAAATGCATTATTTTTGCATTTTTCAAAATCGAATAACTTTTTTTTCAGTTCTAATATCAAAAAAATAAAAACAACGTTGCACAGTCGAAATTCCCTTTTAKCTGTGGTGAGAATTTCGTTTTTTAGTTATGACTGTAGCCTTCTCGGTTCTTTCCCGCGCAATGTTATGTACTTGTAAGACGGAGACAACACATGCGGGTGTAGCGTCCTCTTAATGTGGTCTGTGATTATAAGGTTTTAATTTTTTTTTTTTTTTTTTAGGTATTGAATTGGTTTCATTAGATGCAGCGTGGGTGTCCTCTGCTTCGTGGTATTTTTTGAATGTATTTGGACTTCGGAGTATATATGCACTAGTTTTGGGTGAAAATAATGCTGCAGATCAGTCACGTTTGATGCAAGATCAAATGTCAGGTGCTGCAATCTCTATGCCTATGGATCCAAAAGTAGCTTTTAAAGCAGAATGGGAAGCTTTGGAAATAAGCTCTCATAAGTGGGCCCTTGCTGATCTCGATAATGAAGTGCTTAATGTATTATTAAATAAAAGTATTAAGTAACAATTTGAGCTTTGAAGTGAACATGGTTTTACTATTCTAAGTAAGGTGTATAAAGACTAAAGAGTTAAGTAATATCTATAATTGTTTTTTTTTTAAATTAAACTTTTTGTGTAGTGTTCTTGTGTTTAATTCTGGTTTTGTGTTAATTAAACATAAATGAAATAATACATTCATTCATGTAATTATTTATCTTCATATAGTAGTGTGGTATTAATTTATAACCTTATAAAATTTTGTTTTTAATAACCAAATTTGAACTAATACAATAAGTTATATTCAAATTTGATTGAAAGTATATGTTGTTAGTTCTTATGGATGACAGTTGTCATAGTAAACAGTTAAAATAATATAGATAACTAATCACATGGTAAATAGTGGTACATTGTACATATATGCATAGGGATGTGCCAGGACCCATTGATTTTGTACAAATTTTATTCATTCTAGGACTTTGTTTAAGGACAAATGATAATTCACAAGGTTGAGTTGTGCACAATACCTACATAATATATCAATACCCTAAAAAGGTCGTGCAGCAGATTAATGTATAAGACAAGTATTATAGTTAGGTAGCAAATAAAATATAAATAAAGAGTTCAAATTGTTAAGAATTTTGGAAAATTGAAACTGAAGTTGAAAATTTTAACTGATGAAAATATAATTAACCATATTTATAGTCAAAATTCTGACATCCGCTTCTATTAATAATACCCACTTATATTAAATGTATTATGTCCATGCATCACCATATAAATTCTATAAAATATAAATCAAGTTTCTTTTAGTCTTCTTCATTCTTGATGTTTCATTTAGCATTTCTTGGCATGCTATTCGAGAACTAGCCTGCTTATRAGGTGTACAAACTACTAAGTTAAATTTAATTTAGTTCACTATCTGGTGATTTTTAAGCAGGCGACTAGTCGAATTATATTATAGTGTTGCTAGCAATTAAATATAATCGTTGATCCAACACTTATAAGTTCACAAATTGTTGGTAATAACTAGTAAGTATTGCCGATGGATTCGCTACTTCTACACATACAACAAAGCACTAATGTAAATCTTCAAAATATGTCACCAAATACCCACTGTTGAGGAAATAATCAGTAAGGAATACTTTTTGGAAGGGTGTCAGCTAAATCAGTACAAAAACATTTTAACTACAAGTAAAATTTATGTCTACGATTGTTTGATTTGTAACTTTTAAATTGATTTCTTTACTGTTATGTGTGACCAAAGGAAGTGAACTGGTATTCAGTTCTATACAGTATACACTTAAATCTTAATTATAATAATGTGTTATAGGTACGGCAATTCAATGTAGCCAAACTGCTCAACTTGAGATATACTTTTAAAATTGAAATTAACACAGACCATTTTGTAATGGTTTGTATAATAATTGGTATTAAAATATTACACTAACATGTACCAATGCTTATATTATTCTTAAAAGAAAATTCATTGTAAGAATATAAAAACAAATGCAAAGGCATTTACATCTATTGCACATAAACAGTAACATTTTATTTTTTWAAAAAGTATGATAACCATAGTGTATTAATTATAATTCATTAAAATGGCATTATTCATTTGTCTGTTGAGACTCAAATTTAGGATATTTAACTTTAGCTGCATTCCAAACAGTATTGCCTTGTGATAAATTGTATACCAAATCCACAACTTCGGACACCTAAAATAATAAAAATTATGTCAATAAATTTAAACAACTATTAAACTGCAGTTGTTCTTACAGGTACTCGAATTTGTTCCATTGAATCCCTTTCTCGTATAGTTACTGATTGGGGTTCCACCAATGAGTCAAAATCTACCGTAATGCAATATGGTACTGCTATCTCGTCAGTTCTAGCATAGCGACGTCCTACCGACCCACTTGAATCATCAATTTTATTTGATACGCCTTTCAGGCATAAACTTTTGGCTAAAAATAAATTACAATTTAAAAGATTTATTTCAAGTTAAATTACATATTACTTTTTTGTAATACTTACACAACATAGATACTAGAGGTGTGAACTTATCATTATCAAGCAATGGAAGAACACAGCATTTTAAAGGTGCTACTAATGGAGGCAATGATAAGTACTGAAAATAAATATAATTTACAAATATTTAATTTAGTTATTCAAAAATTGTAATATATTTACCGTTCTTTGCTCATCTTTTTCACGGATTTTAAATGTATGTTCTAATAATGTATAAATAATTCGACCAATACCAAATGATGGTTCTATTACATTAGGAACAATCTCTTCAACATGAATAGTTTTTGAATACGATTTAAGTGGGATCATTTCTTTGTTAATCTGGAATTCTTTATTACCAATTTTACACAAAGTTAATCCAGTAGTTGGATCACGTTTTCTTGAAGTAACAAAAATAATAAAATTAGATTTTATACGAGACTTTTTATAATTTTTAGATAAATTACAAGTAAAATAGAGTTTTATACATTTCAAATATATATTACCCATTATCAATGAATTCGTGTAGTTGTTTAACTTCATTTATTGATAATTTTGATAATCTTTCCACACACTCTTTGGAATCTTTGCGTAGTGTTTTACCAATCAAACCTTTATCCATCTCCAATTCTATAAAATATAGCTTTGAGGTTAAACCAAAAATTAATTATTTTTTTTAAATTGTACTTACCTGTAACTTGAATTGTTTTTGGTGCAGGTAATTTCCTTTCAGCTACTAATCTTTGTTTAGTTTCTTCTCCGTGTTTACTTAGGTCATATGCTGACCGATCAGCACAACCAATACACTCCACCCAACCCTATTCAAAAATATATAAAAATTTAAAATAATAGTTAAATAACTTAAGTGTTTACTGTTAATTTTAAACCTAAATTAATGAAAATCCTCACATAAGAAGTTAGACACTCAGCATCCCAGCAGTCAACAGCATAATGAGCCATTTCATTTGACATGTGTTGTCGAAATCTTAATTTTTCTTTGGTCACTCCAATTTTCATCATAAACATGTAAATACGAGCCATGAAGTATCCCAATGTTTGATTAGCAACCATACCCTGATAACAAGTATTTACAATAATGATTATTTCAGAACTTAATTTGTATGATCTAAACTACTATTTTTACCTTAGATACAGCTTCACCGATTGTGATGTCAACAGGAGGTTGTCCATCCATTTGATTACAAGCACTGTATAACTTCATTATGGTATTTTCTACATCACAAAACTTTGAATGTGATTTATCGTTTGGATCACAGAAATGTTCTATTTCAGCCATAGTAAATTCCCTAAGATGATTGCATTTTATTTTTTTTATTAAAATTTTCTATTTTATGTCAAATATTAAATTAAATTTACCGAACTCTTAATAAACCAGAACGAGGAGAAATTTCATTTCGAAAAGCATTACCAATTTGAGCAGCAGCGAATGGCAATCTTCCTTGATTAAACTCAAGTAAACGTTTAAAATTGACAAATATACCTTGCGCAGTTTCTGGTCTCAAAAATCTAAATCAACAGTAAATATTTGAATAAGTTAAATCATTTAAAATTTAATTTTTGAGCCAAAACTACTAACCCCTTTTGGTCTCCAGTAGGTCCAATCTGGGTAGCAAACATAAGATTAAAATCGACAGGTTCAGAAAGATCATTCCCAGTAGTAGGTGATTTCATGTTAAATTTGTTTACAATATCAGACATTTGCTCTGTAGTCATACCATCCAATTTGATTATAATATCTTTACATTCTTCTTTAACTTCAGGAGTTTGTTTTTTATCCTTGATTAAAGTTTCCAAGCGGTTCTTGATTAAATGGTCAAGTCTGAAGCATTCTCCAGTTTTTTTATCTTTCACCATGGTATCAGCAAACTTTTCCACATGCCCCGAAGTCCTTTAATGGATTAAAATACAACATAAATATCAAAAGTTTCTTATACAGATTTTGAAATAAAGTCTTACTCTAAAACTCGTTCCGGTGTCAGCATTGAACAATCGATTTCAAGCATCTGTTCTTCAAGAACAAAAAAACGTTTCCATTGTTCCAAAATATTTGATTTTAAGGCACAACCCATTGGTCCAAAATCATATAATCCAGCAACCCCTAAACATGAAATAAAAAGTTAAAATTATGAATTACTATCAGTGTTCCATGTTCCATAAGCCTTGACATACCTCCATAAATAGAAAAAGATTGGTCGTAAAAAAATCTACGGATCATTAGATCTGCAAACTTAGATCTATTAAATGTTTCTGAAGGTGGTTGCAAAGCCAACTCTTTATCGTCTAATTGTTTCTTCAATGCTTTCAACTCTCCAACAGCTTTTTTCACCTCCATATCCGAGGCATTTGATTCTTTCAAAGACCTCACCACGAGACCCTGCCAGAATCAAATGAAAACGCACATATCATTCATTAGTTTGTTAATATATTTATAAAATAATCTGTATCCACTCACTTGTTTCTTTACAGCCTCTCTCAAGGGGGCCAAAATTTGTTCGATTTGTGTATCCGCCATGGTCTCCGGATGATAGTTGACGATTTTCACTTGGGTAGCTGACTTTTTCGTGCCCCAGTTACTCAATTTAGAGAAATGTCGAGTATTGGCAGACGGACGAGTGCGGACACCGATTTCTCCAGCAGAAAGTATTTGTCTGATGAGCAATTTCAAATTCAGACACTGCAAACGTGACATACCGAAATCAGCGTCAATATAACATGGGAATATGGCTGATATCATTGGTTATAATTTTGTGGCCATTATACACGAGTAGATGGCGTATATTTTCATGTAACATAAATGGGTAATAATATACCTATATTATATTACCACAGTCCACAATATTATTAGTATTTTGTGATAGTCGACTTACTCAGTCTGCTGATAGAGGGCATGGTTATCAAGAACTATTTTTTAAAGGTTTTTATAAATTATAATCGTGAATCGTGATGGAGTGAAAGATTAAAGACGTGTCACTGCTTTGGGTAAAGTAAAAGGTCCGAATTACATAAAAAAATAGGTATGTTATCAACATGRCTAATATTGGTYGAGACTTCGAGAGCGAGCACCTCTCCGGCTCTGCCTCATTTTGAACATAACATTGTCATGCCATAAGAACTGCAGAATAAAAATCGCTATGACTACAATTTATATTACTCACATCCAACTGAAAATGATTGAACAAATATTGTTTAAACACTGATTAGTGTAATTCCTACATTATTAATATAAAATACTCATAAATATTTATAGTATAGCTGTATAAGTTAAAAGGTGTAGAAAAAAATCTTGCCTATAGCCTATGGATCTTCAATTAGGTACATCTTTAGATGGACATTAATAAAAAAAAATTCAATTTTCAAATGTATGAGGTACCTACCTCAAAATAGGTCAAAATATTTTGAAAATGTTATCATGTATATAAAATTAAAAATTAATATTTGATGAACAATGAACATATTTCAAGTACCTAGAATTATTAATATTTGAATAACTAAAAAATTTAAAAATAGTTGATGAGAATTTATTAATATTTATACTGGTGAATATCCTATGACTAACTTTAAAAGATCATAAAAATTTAATTCGACTCCGGTAGATATTTTTGTTTTTTTGAATAAGAAGTTAGACAAACTTACACGAGGAATCTTGTACGTAATGTCCAAAGCTTAAATATAAATAGATGAACTTTTATAAATTACATATTTAAAATMATTTACAAATTTTATGAATTTCCTCAAAATTTTAACTTCAGACAATCATAAAAAATCTTAAGAAAGTATTGGTGGTTCAATGCATTAACTTAACTGCAGGCATTAGAAAACGTGTATTTTTTCGTAATTTAAAAAATACTGAAAAATATTTTTATTTTTATTTTCAATTCAATAAGATTTTAAAATGCCAATCAGTTATAGGAACATTTTATTTCAATTATAAATAATTGTTATGTTTATTATTTGATATATTAGCAACATATCAGATGTATTCAGCTTTTACAACTTTCATTCGACACAATGCCATTTCACATAACAATTGACTTCGACGTCGGTCGGTAAAATATATTTATATTATATTATGTATGTGCATAGAAATCGTTCAGTTTCTCGTGCTGTCGCCGACAACATCTTCAACCGTAATATGCTGCAGACAGGCATTTTATTATGTCCCTGCACCGGCTGCACCCGGAGACACAGATCATTGTTTGTGTTTACTGGTAACACGATGTTTGTTACCTTTTTTGATTACCTATCGAGTATTATCATTACTGTAACGYTGTCCTGAATAGAGGCATTTTTGCAGTGACATTTTATTTTTGTACGGTTAATTATTGCTCAATGTTTGCGCAATCGCAAAATAACTTTTGATCGGGTGCTATATCATTTGTCTGCTGCATATACTGTATATTGCTGATTTGTTTTCCGTAACTCCTATGATCACACTCGTCATCGGATAACAGGACAACAAAATATCGTTTTTATTTTTACATGCTCGTTTAGTGTGTCCGTTTGTGTCACGAGTTCACGACGCTACTGACCATCGCAGAATTACACACGAGCCCATTTCGTTCATCTGATTTTATTATTCGCGCGATACTGTTCCGTCGCCGTCCGCGTAAGCATAGAACAGTAAGGTAAAAATATAAATAAATAAATATATAATAAATAAGCGTAAGGCATACTGAAATACTGAATATCAATTATCAACTCGTTTGTCGTTACCTTTTGGTTTTTGTACCTACCGTGTGTCGTTGGGATGTTAGTGATGTTACATCGTTATTGGTATTTATTTTGGTATAAGCAAAGATGCAAACGACGGCGTTATTGTGTATATATAGGTTCTGCGCGCAGTGGCGTATCCAGGATTCATTTAACGGAGGTGTTTTGAAATTTAATAGACATTTAGAAAGTGGAGGACTCCGCCCCCCCCCACACCCCCTGTATAATATAAACAAGTACCATATATTGATGTAAATTATTATATTAATGGAAATAATTATAATAAGTATGTTATATAGGTATGTACAATTTACAAGTCATATTAAATTTTTATATCATAAATCACAAAAATAAATGATTATAATAATATGGTACATATAATATGCTGAAATTCAAAACACAGATAAAGTACATACTTTCGTCTTTCATAGAAATTCGGTCTAATAAGTAAATTCAGAATTWGGTGAAAATATAAAAACATATGGATAATGGGGGGTGTTCTAACACCCATATCACCCCCTCCCCTAAATACGCCCCTGAGTCTGCACGTTATATATCACACATTTTAGCGTAATTCAATGTAACTTTTATTGCCTTGCGATTTTTACGGCGCGGCGCGCAGCGTAGTACAAAAGTCTGCAACCTAGCGCCGCGGTATCGATTACCAACTCATCATATTTGATTGAGATTGCTATTTATCACCATCCACTAAACTGTATAGTAGTACCTACCTTAGTGTTAGTACCTATACGGCTATACAGACATACAGTTCAGTGCCTCCATCCCATTAATACATATAGGTCATTACGACATTACCAGCTTATCGTCGGCCGTATGATAATATTTATTGATTAAATGTTGTACTATGCATTTGTCATCATCACAAGAATTCACAACATACTATTATTATTGTTATTTTCCTTACGGACACCCAAAGCTGAGCAAGTTAGTCATTTTTTCAACTAGTTCAAGTATCAAGCTAAACTTAAGTTACTTAAATATAAAAACCAAGTTAGAATATAAGTTAGTTTCTGAAATTTTCCAAATTTCCAACTTAGTTAAATATTAGTTTGTTGGAAATAGCAACTTAAGTTAGAGTAGAAGTTAATTTTTTTTTTAAATTCGATTTAAAAACTTGTTTGTTCAAATGTAAATGACAAGTTATTTTCGTCAAATTATTGATGATGATTAAAAAATTAAATTAAACACATTCTTGATTAGATAACTAATGTCAGTTATTATTTTATTTTAATATAAATAATAATACAATATTATACAGCCTATATTACCTATATCTCTCGCTATATATAGTATACAGGTAAAAAATTAAATTAGCAGTAGTAATATTTGACTAAAAATATTTATTGAATTTTAATAAAAGTGCCATTACAAAATCGTCATCGGATCCACGTATTTGATCAAATAATTAGCATTTTACATTAAAAATTCTCTCAACATAAGCACTAGAGGATGAGAGGATACTTGTGTTATACTTGAAATATAWTTTTTGAATTTCTTTTGAAAACCCTTTTAATGGTATATACAGGMCAAAATCGATGAAATAAGAATTAATTAGAAATAAAAGTCAAGATTATGTATTTATCAAAAAATTTAAAAAAGTACATTATCTAACCAATATTAATTATTAATGCATTAAAACTAGTTGTTTTTAATTTTAACAAATTAATTAGAATTATTTTATACATTAAATTCAATTCGTTAAGTTAGAAAGTTATTATTTATAAAAACTAACTAGTTAAGTTAAAAAATTAATTAAAAAGTAACTTTAATTTTCTAACTGTTGTTAATCAGCTTTGCGATTGCGGACACGYATCAGCAACAAACATCGACCATAATATATTGGCTTTTTTTTTGTAATAATCGTAATAACAAACGGACGACGGGCAAACTCGTCTAAATATAAGTATTAAAACATAAATTCAACCAAATAGTGAACATGTCACCTCAAGAGCGATAACGTTACTCGTATTGCATCGAAAAATGTTCCGTCAGGATGGCGTTCGTTACGCGTGGCGGTACTGTCAATACGACTAGACCAGCAGCTATATCGTTATCCGTCGCACCCAGTGGCGKCGCCAGAATTTTAATACCAGGTGGGCCAGGCTGGGTCCTAAATTTTTTAGGGAGGTCCAAATTGTTGACTTGATATATATGTATATATACCTAAACAATAGTGATGACAGGCAATTGCGCAGAAGGTGGAGGGGGAGGGTCAACTTCCAATTTTTCAATTGTTTTACACTTCATCGTGTTAACTTACTAAAACAATGATTTGTAAACATGTATTAATAGTATTTATTTCCTAACAAAATATATATTCATGTAAAAGTATATTCATCAAAAGTATATAAAACTAGAATGCTTTCTCTTGTATTTTCTTCATCATAGTTGGTTAATAATCTAATCCCGTTGTTCATGGAATTTTCAACAAAATTATTAATAACATTGATTAGTATTTAATAATAACTAGTAAGTATAACTTATTATTTTCGTATTCAGACGCTGGAAAATACACGTTATATTTATGAGKTTTGAAAGCATAGTGCATAATTTTCAACCCATGTTAAATGTTGTTCACGCCATCTATTATGACTTAACATTTTCATATTTTGATTTATTCAGGAGATATTTTTTAGTATTCTAGTATGATTAAATTTAATTTTTGGGGTGGGCCACAAGGGGAGCTGAGACTTTTTAAGCCCACCCTGGACCACCCCTGGCGCCGCCACTGGTCGCACCTACAACAGCCGACAGGCAAAGTACTACATGATACCGTGTCGATAAATGAATTTACCAGTCGACGACCAAGACATGATGGAGCTAAGAATAAGATTCTACGAAATCAGCGGAAAATCAAAGGCGTGACGCGTGAGTCGGCAGGAAAACCACTGAGTAATAAAGTATCCGCCTCCGTACAAACAGTCTCATAAATGTCAGGGTAAGATTAATCACGTCGGAT